AAATAATTGCCAAGCCAAATCTCTGTATCTCACAAAAACCTTCAAAAATGAAAACAAAAAGACATTTTCACTGTAAGAAAAAGAAAAACACAAGGAATTTGTCATTAGCAGACCAAGAAATGGTAAAGGGAGTTCTGCAGGTAGAAGAAATATAATTCCAATGAAATCACAAAGGTAAAGGAATAAATAACAATGGAAAGAATAGGCAGGGCATGGTGGCTCACGCCTGTAATCCCAGCATTTTGGGAGGCTGACATAGGCAGAGCACCTGAGGTCAGGAGTTTGAGACCAGCCTCGCCAACATGGTGAAACCCCGTCTCTACCAAAAATACAAAAATTAGCTGGGTGTGGTGGTGCGCACCTGTAATCCCAGCTACTCAGGAGGCTGAGTCAGGAGAATCGCTTGAACCTGGGAGGCGGAGGTTGCAGTGAGCTGAGGGGGGAAAAAAAGATTGTCAACAAGATTAAAAATCCTAACTATATGGTGGTTTATAAGAGTATACCTTACATATAAAGCATACAAAAGTTGAAAGTAAAATAACAAATTTATACTATATAAATCTGATACAGCTATACTAACATCAGATAAAGTAACTTCAGGGCAAGAAGTATTACTAGAGAAGAACAGGGCATTTCATATTAAAGGGGACAATCTATAAAAAAATCCTTCAAATTTATATGTATCTAATAAAATAGCCTCAAATATATAAATCATAAATTGATTAGTAACAAATGTACTTTAATATTATAGACATATATGTACTGTATATTATAGACTTAAAAGTCTATAATATATAGAATCTGAATAACAAAACTGGAGAGATATATATATGTATATATACATAATATAGAAGGCTATCATTGCATTATTATATATAAATAATATAGAAGGCTATCACTGCAAAATATGCATTTTTTTCCTCAATTGCCAATTGCAACATTTACTGAAATGGACAACATATGGAGCCACAAAGAAGGCTAACAAGTTCCAAAGAATTAATATCATACAGTTTCTCTGACTACAGTTAAGTAATAACTAGAAAACAATATCTGGAAGATCACCCAATATTTGGAAACTAACATGGGTCTATTTACCCATGGGTCAAAGAATTCATAATGAAAATTAAATAATAGTTGAACTGATTGTCTTTAAAAAAGATATATCAAAACTTGTCTAACACAGCTAAAGCCAATGCTTAAAGAGAAATTTATAACCTTAAAATGTATAAATAGAAAAGAACAAAGGCTGAAAAGCAAAGAACTGAGTGTCCATCTCAAGAAGCTAGAAAAAAAACTAAATAAGAAAACAGAACGAATAAATATAAATGCAAAAATGAATAAAGTGAAACAAAACAAAAAAACGATCAACATAACCAAAAACTGGTTATTTGAAAAGGCAAGAGAAGGCAAAAATAACCAGTATCAGGAATGAAAAGGGTGACATATCTACAGCTGTTACAGAAATGCTGAGTCACTTTACATCAGTAAATTTGAAAACGAAAATGAGATGAACATATTCTTGTAAACAGTGACTCTCACAGCACAGTTTACAACCCTCTGGGAGGGTTCAAGACTGTCTTAGATAACCAAGGAGGTCAAAATTATTTTCATGATTCTAACGTGTCATCTTCCCTTTAATTAACTGTATTACATTTGTAATAATTGTGCAAAACCAGCGGTAAACCTGCGTGATTTGTCAGAGCCAATCATGGCAGGTCTATTTCTCTTGCCAGTGATTGGTTTAGAAAACCAGGGCATAGGAAAACGCTGAGAATCTTGTATATGTCAAATGTTATCAATGAGATGCAAGAAGAAACACGCTGTGGCTTCAGAGAAGTTTTTCCTTTCAAGAAAGGTAATAGGAAGTAGTTTTTCTCCTTCTGGATGAGGATGTATGTGGAATGCAGCCCAGAACCACAGGGAACTGTCTCTTACCTGAAAAGGAAGCCAGTACATAAAACAGAGTGGAGTTGAGGAAAAATTACAGATACACAGAACTGGAGTAACATGAATAACCCAATCCTGAAAGCTCAGTTTCATTTTGTAGTGAGCCGATTTTCTGTTCCAGCAACTTTAAGTTTTTGCTTTATTGAAACTGTAAACAACCTAATTAACATTATAGAATTCACTGCTTAAATAAATGCTGTTTCACAGTGGAATGTACAAATGGGGTATCTCAATTTACAAGCTAGACAAATTTTTCTCTATACAAAGGTGCACCTTAGACATTTGTACTGCCTGGTAGGGTTACCACTGAGACATTTGTGGAATATTGTATTATCAGTTGGTATACAACTGAGAAGTGGTGTGTGGTGCATTATTGAGTACATTGATTAACAGTACAGCTGACCCTTTAAAAAATTGCATGGGTCAATTTATATGTGAATTTTCTTGTCTCTGCCATCCTTGAGACAGTTAAGACCAACTCTTCCTCTTCCTCAGCCTATTCAGTGTGAAGGTGATGATGACTTTTATGATGGTCCACTTCCACTTAATGCACAGCAAATGTATTTCCTTCATAACATATTCTTTTCTCTAGCTTACATTATTGTAAGAATACAATATATAATACATATAACATACAATCAATCAACTGTTTATTGTTAAGAGTTCCAATCAACAGTAGGTTATTAGTGTGAAAAATATGAATCTGAAAGAGCCAGTTCTTCAAGATGAATCCCAAGTGGCTAACTGGCCCTGAATTTAAAATGGAGCCAAGCAGCCATTTGCTGACTGGAATCACACACAACCTCTTGAGTTCCCTGAAAATCCATAGCTTTTTATCTTTGGAACTATCAGAGCTCAGCTGTCCAAACACGGCTCCACTGTATTGACCAATCAGAACTAAGCAAGTTTCAATCCTTCATTTGCACAAAAGGAACTGATTGGGAAGCTTGGGCAGGAACTTTTGCTATAAAACCCCAGTCTTCACTTTGGGAGGCCCAGGTGGGCAGATCATGAGGTCAGGAGACCAAGACCATCCTGGCCAACATGGTGAAACCCTGTCTATACTAAAAATAAAAAAAATTAGCTGGGCACGGTGGCACACCATGTAGTGCCAGCTACTTGGGAAGCTGAGGCAGAATTGCTTGAACCCAGGAGACAGAGATTGCAGTGAGCCAAGATTGCACCATGGAGCTACAGCCTGGGTGACAGTGCAAGACTGTCTCAAAAACAAACAAACAAACAAAACCCCAATCTTCCCTTTGTTCTTGAAACGTACCTCCACTTTACACCAAACACTGCATCTCCCCAGTTTTATAAACTGTTCACTGAAATAAAGTATCTTTCCTCTAAATTCCATTGTTCACAGGACTTGATTTGGAGGAGTCAAAAGTTACATGCAGATTTTCAACTGTGTGGGCTGTTGGCACCCCTCACCCCTGCATTGTTCAAGGGTCAACTGTATTACAAACACATAGAGGCACTACTGCATATCTGGTTAAGTTCAGCGCTATCCTGGAATGTTGACTTTATATGATAAAGACAGGTCAAGAATATTTGCTTTAAGATGAGGACAGAGATCTGGAGTATTTTTACATGGGCCAGTTGCTTCTGTAACCATAAACAGTGCTCTCAGAAGTAAAAAGGAAACTCGGACTGAAAGACGACTTTTCCCTTTTGGCATGGTTCACTGGGCACTGAAACTGAATGGCCTCTTTAAAAAGTTTCACAGACAAGGTAGATCCATCTCCAGCCACTTGCTGTTAATGCTTGAGAAACTGCAAAGCAACCTAGGGATCCTCTTGAATTAAATTACATTTTCCAAAGGGTGAAGTTTAATTCTATTTAGTTGCCTTTGATAACCACATATGAAGGAGGAAGAATAATTTTTTCTAAGACAGGGTCTCAGTTTGTCACCCAGGCTGGAGCGCAGTGGTGCAATCTCAGCTCACTGAAAGTCCACCTCCTGGTAGAGTGATCTTCCCACCTCAGCCTCCCAAGTAGCTGGGAATACAGGCACACACCACCATGCTCGGCTAATTTTTAAATGTTTCTGTAGGGACGGGGTCTCTATTGCCCAGGCTGAGAATAAATATTTCATGTAAGTGCTGATTAAATACCCAGGAAGCCACCATTCTGTCATGCCCTTACTTAACAAAGTGTTGCTTTCCACCCTACCCCAGGGGAAAGCACACATAACATGGCAAGATTCATTGGCTACAGCTCAGCAAAACATTTTGGATCCTTTAGGAGGAAAAAATCTTACATAAACTGCATTTTAAGAATAAAGTGGTGCAGGATCTGGATTTAAAAAGAAGAAGGAAAAAAAAAAAAGAAAAAGGAAGAAGTTTTATGGGACCTAAATTTCAAGTCAACGACCCTTTGAATCTCTGGCTCTAAGATAAATGCAACTCATCCAGGGAATTTCTTTCTTTGAAGATGTGTTTTAATGCCACTGTGACCCCAGAAGAAAGATAGCAAACTATTTGAACTCTGATGCAAAAGGTATATAATCTGTATCCTGCTGGTTCTGGTTCTTACTAAGTAATAGTTAAAATGATGCATTAAAGGATTATAAGTGATTTAATCAAGAATACGTCTATTCTCATTGCAAATCAGCTTGTATTTTAAGTATTATATGTAAAATCACTGGGTTAGTACACACTGTAAATATACCAAACAAGTTTGTGCCCGCCTGATTTTGATGACCATAATCCAAATGTTCTTTCCATTTTCTGTGCTGTAATTTAGTGTGTGATTGAACACATACATTTTTATCATCCTACATGTGCCATCTAATATTGTTAATGTGTAATATCGAGATCAATTCAGAAGATACAAACTACAACCCTTCCACTAAGAAAAGTGTGAAAGAGACCATCTTTGAACATGAAGTATGATGTATGCTTTGGATCTGTTTTAAGTTGAAGGATGTTTACAGGCCAAAGCTTATTTAAAATGATTTCAGAACCAAGTACATGTTTTAAGAACATGCCATACAGAACTGAATATACTGTACTCTAATTTTTCTCAATTTGACAAAAAATGGACAGAAGGCAAAATGAAAAAAAAATTTATTTTCTCAGTGTTTATCCACTGTCAATACTGTATTTTTGATGCAATATATTTGCCAGAAAAACTCAGTCTTTATTTTCCATTTTAAACAACTACAATATTTACAAGCTGTTCAGAATAACACTCAGACACACACACACACACACTCACAGACACACGTAAGTACATATGTCCTTATCTCTGGTTTATGCTGAATGCTGGTAAAGGCCATGAATACTTTCCAGAGCCCATGATCAGAAAAGGAAAACCCATTTTCCTTCTTAGTCCACTTTCCAAGAATCAAGTTAAATATTCCTCCTTCCATTTCCTCATGCAGAGCTCATTGCCAGACTTGTATAGGGTTAATCAGTTTTTACAATTTACTTTTACTTAAACTATAAGCTTTTAAAAAGCATAAGCAGACATGATCCCCTCCCCCAAAAAACTTCTATTATTTTGGTTGTAGAATCAAGCTTCATATATAAAAAATATTGTTCAATCACAAGTACACCAAACCCAAGAGTCATCTGGAGCAGCCATCCTATGCTCTATTACTACTCTGTTGTGAATTCCGGGGCACCACCTCCTTGTGCAGGTAATACCCAGGAATTCATCCCCATCACAGTGTTAGATGACCTTTGTTCCTTCTAGCTTGGCTCCACCGAATTATAAATTGTCAGGTACAGCGCTGAGGCATAAGAAAGAAGGTATAACCCTATATAATAGGTATAAGTCTTAGAACAGAGTTCTCATATAAGCTTGTGGTGACAATCAGTTCCAGTTCCACCAAAGAATGTGAGGTTGATTCCACAAAATGGCAGATAATGAAGTTCAACTCACAAACGTTAAGTTATTTATCTTAATCCAGAAAGAGTATGTGGTTTGTAGGCAATAAAGAGAAATTGTTTTCATATACAATTCTTGACAGATGACTCTGGTGAGGTGATTCAAAGTAGAAAATATACTTTTGTTTCAAGCAAACTTACTCCACTCATATCCTACCAGATTTATTATAATAATTAATTCCTTTCCAATCACAATTCTTCCTAGACATTTAACAAGTAAAAATAAGACAGCCTGGATGCATATTAACCAAATTAAAAAAAAATAAATTAAGAAAAGGCTTTTTAATACTTATTTTTAAAAAGCTATAGTCAATGTAATATTAAAATTATGCTGCCCCAATGCATGGTAGTATCTAATTTTTCTTCTTTCTCAACACCAATAAAACAATATCCATGTAAGAATGAAACAGAATGTCCTAAGTCCGTTAGCAAGTTCCATGTGCCATCTTACCTTGACTGACATTATTCTCTCCACTAATCTTGGAATTAAAGGAAAAGCCTCTAGAATAAAAAGGGACATTTTATACCTTATCTGAACAATGTACCCTCTATCAAAAGAAAAAGTTAACTGGGTCTGTGTCCAAAGTAACATTATATGATTACCTTACACAAAAAAAGATTACGAATGAATGAGGACTTAAAAAACAAACACACACCCCAGAAAAGGCTTTGTCCATATTCATGAAAAATTAATTAAAAAAAATATAAAAGAAATTAGTAATCTGGACAGCAGTTTATGTTTAAGTAGCTAGTACATATAAAGTTAAAGCATTCTGACAAAATCATTATCACCTTTTTCTCAAGTTATATATTTATTTGGGAGGAAAGATGCTTGAAAGCTAGCTATAAGAAAAGGACAATTCTAGACAATGGGTGAATCTTCAGCTTAAAAGGCCTAGTGCTGGATGAATGACTCACAACAGCAATTCACCAAATGCAGAGCTGCTAAGCAGAGGCAGAAGGATGATGCTCAGAAGCACGGATGAATTTATCAAGGCTAAGCTGCCCCTGCTGAAAAATATGAGGCTGAGTTGTGAATTTTGGTATGTGATGGAAAAATAAACTAATTCAGAAAGAGAAACACATCTTCTTACTGGGTTTCCTACACAAAAACTTCTATTTTCATTGCCTGACATTTAGTACACAGAATAATCTTCCATCTCACTTAGGATACAAATATTGTCTGACTACTTCTGTTTCAAAAATTAGAAGTATTTCAGATATACTTGAAATATTTTCCAAAATACTTCAAATCTAATAGAATTAGATTATCATCCTCCAGTAACAAAGTCAAAGAAGGCAGAACACTGGTTAAGTTTGTTCGCTAATTTCCTAAAAGGCAATCTCTTAAAAAATATACATACAGCCTCACCACTTACTCTTCCAAGTTCCCTAAACATCATCATCTTATGTTAATCTAGATTCTTAGAAAAATTAAAGTTCTTTAGCATAAAAGTCAACATTAAAGTTTTATCCAGTGTTGAAAATGGTGTAAAAAGAGAGTTCACACCAAGGTATAAGTTGGGAGATTAACCAAAAGCTTAGTTAGGAGCTATAGAATGTTTTTTGACACTGAATGAAAGAAAAAAAGGAAAAAAAGTCAACAATTTATAACTCATTCTATGATCATCTTTCTCTTATAAGTGGGGGTCGGGGTGGGGAAGAATTAAACAAGAAAAAACTGAAAGATTTCAATCATGCATTATAAAAAGGAAATGAATAAAAAAAGCTAGTGTTTTAATTATATCTTTTTACTTTCAAATTATGGAAATCGAAGCATTGGCAATTTATAAACTAAAGACATTAATGTAGGCTGAAGTCTTGTACATAACTGAAAAACGTTAAGCAGAGAATCTAAACAAGTCATTCACGGTTCTCGGAGGAGGGGTGACAGATGAGGCAGGAACAAAAATTTATGATCAATTAAGTTAATGCAAGTATTATATTTCCATATAATTTAGATCAAATTATTCTTAAGAAATGAATGTTTCTTCAATTATCACCATTTCCCCTGATGCAATTACTAGAAAAGTATTATGATTTTTAAAAGACTGTCAGTTTTAGACTCTTAAGAAAAACAACAGGGCTTCTCTCAGGGTTCCTAATTTATAAACTCACTAAAGAATTATATGTTAACAAAATTCAACTTTTTTTGAGAAAAATACATATCAATTGCTACCCAAAATCAAAACCCAACATATATGTTCCATATAAAATCTTGTCTTGCATTTGAAATCTGACTTTTCAGAGTATGTGATGCGTTAAAAATTTTTTTGGAGCAGGGGCTAGAAATCAAAAAAATTCCAGCCCTTCTGATTAAATCATGTGAAGGTCAGATTTTTTTTTTTTGTGTATGGGAAAATGAATTACCTTCCGCCTAAGACTGAAAAGGCTCTACTTATCTCTTATCTAGGCAATGACCATGAAAAGATCATATTCACTTCAGAAAGGGAACAAGCAGAAGGGAACATAGTTACTTTGAGAAGATTTTTAAAATATATGTACATAGAGAAATCGATTATAAATTCAGTTTCAAAAAAAAACCCTCCAAAACCAAAAACACTAAACTTTAATGGCATACTGTAGATCTGCCAAAACGAGGCAAATGCAGAATATAATGACAGTATCAGAAAAAGACATTTTTTAAATGGTCAATTTAGAAAGGGTACCTTTATATAAAGGTTCAGTAAATCATTTGACATGTATTTTTAAACAGTAAATTTGTAAAGTGTGAAGTCTATGTAAATGTCAACACAAGGCACAGTAGGTTCTGAATGACCACAGAAGTTTAAAACCGGAAAAAGGAAAAATAAATGGGTTTCAAAGTGGAAATGTAGTAAGATTGGTATGTTCACTATTTACTTTCTTAGTTTTCATTCCTTCTACTGTAATGTTATGCTATAACGTGAGATCTACATCAGAATTAGTAGGAAAAACAGCTCCTCTCTTCTGTCACCTCGATAAAAGATACTTTAAATCTGTACTGTCTAATACAGTAGCCACTAGGTACATGTAGCTATTGAGTACTTGAAATATGGCTAGTGACACATGATGAAATAGTAATACTTCGAATGTACTGGATTAAACAAAATGCATTATTAAACTTACTTTTACCTGTTTCTTTCAATGTTCTATTCACAAGGGGTACAAAGATGGCTGCTCCTAAATGCTCAGAGGAGATGTACAATTTTCTTTGGAGTTTCACAACAAAAGGGAAAATTTTCTTAAGAATTTAAAAAATGCTAAAAGTTGCAAATTAAATCTAAATTGAAATTCCTATATCGCCCAATTGTAAATATGAGTAATATATTTCCCTGAATATACATTTTTTTAAAAAAAACCAATAAAATTTAAGTTATGAGACAACATATGAATTAAGTCAATTTCACAGTTATAAATATTTCAATTTACAGCTACACACTAAAAATTACAGGAAATAAAATTCAAGTAATAGAAAAAGAAGAGGGGAAAAATAAAAAGCAAAATTATTAAAGAGGGATATAATAATAACTGCACCATTTGGATATTTTTATTTGAAAAAATTTTACTTGATTAACTAAACTGCTTGTGAATAACTTCAAGAGCTAGAAACTCATAAAATAAATAAAAGGCAACTGATCCTTTCTTTAAATTCCTGGACCTTCACCTTCTTCTTAAAGAAACACATTTTCTTCCCAGAATCGAGCCCAGCCCAGCAGAGCTTGCCCTGCTGGAGAGAAGCAGAGAGCATGGGCTCCTCTGAGATGTGGACACAGGAGCTGGCAGTGGTGTTCACATGACTGATCCGCTGACTGTTGGCTCTGGGAAATGTCAATGATGAAGCTATGTATATCTTGAGATTACATATTCATTTTAAAGAAAACATCCAATATCCTGGCATGAAGTATAGACTACTAACAGAAAAATTAGCAGCACAGTTCCTGCTACCTATGTTTATAAGGGAAGGGGTTAATCCCAAAGGCAATTTAAATAATGGTACTTTATTTTTATATATAAATAAATGTTCTGAGAAATCTCAGACTTTAGTGCATTGCTGTAAAAAAATTAGTGCAGGTTTTTTTTTCATTAAAGTTTTTAGCGCTCAAGGAATAAGATAAATCTATGTCTGTTCATCGTCTCTTTCACTGTACATTAAACTTTTACACTGCTATAAGTCAAACAGAACATTTCTACACTGGTCTGTTTTTAAAAATCAAGGTAAATGAATTTCATGTTCTATGACAAAACATGGTAATTATTTTTGGCAAAGAAATTAGAAAAATATGAGATCATAGTTTAGAAATGAAGAGTTTGTTGATTTAAAGCATAGGCAATGCATAGGAAAGACTTTTTTTAAGGATGTATTTTAACAGAACTTTATCTTTCATGCAAAATGTTTTCTTGGCAGCTAACTTAAAAAAATATTTCAGCTTTATTTGGGGATGGAGACAGTGACAGGAGTCAGGGTGAAGGGCAAAGGAGAGGCGCTTAACCAAGCTCATTCTGCTTTCAGTCTCTCCCATACAGGACTGATGTGATACCTGCAGGCGTCTTCTTGCTCCTCTCTTTTTCCAGTGTCTTGGAATTGAGAGGGAAAATGAAACGTCTTTATAAAACATTGGCTCACACTTCAGCCCCAAGTTCTAGTACCCCAGTTTCAATTACAGTCACATATTTATCATCAATCTGGACCAGAAGCACTGCCTTGTCGATGTGGGATCTAGTACCTGGATCTCTGCTGCAAGGCACCCATCGGTGAATCACCTAATGATTCAGAATAAAACAAGAAGTTAGTGCTGGAGACCTGGAATATACTCACAAACTCTTATCCCCACCCAGGATTAGAAGTAACAATTTTGTCTGAAAATTATACGTATGTATAAATCAGCTAAAACCATGCATCCGAGTGAGGCAGACTTCAAAAAATGCGGACCCCCAGACCACTAGCTTGTAAAAGAACTTACATGACCTTCCATGCCCTCCTGCGGACTCCAGTCTTTCCAGCTATTTCTCCCAGCTTTTAACCGAATTCCCTCATCAGGCCACTGTAGCTCTTTCCTTTTAGACAGGTTGATCCCTTCCAGAATTTGACCGGGATCCACAATCTATACAATACATAAAAACATTCCAATTCATTTTTTTCTTGATGATGAAAAATTATGTAATCTCAAACAAAAATGTTTTTCACAGGACTCTTTGTGTCTCAAGTTATTTTTAAATTCCTCTAATGGAATTAAAAAAAAAAAATCTTAAGAACTACCTTTTGAATTATTTTCAGCCTTCTGGTAGACCTCACTGCAATGGCCATGTGACAATGGCAGAACAGGAACAAATATCACCACCACAAAAACTGTTTGCTTTCAGTTTTTAAGAACGAAGAAACTTTTCCTTAACATTCAAAAATATTCTAATCTTGAGACTAAGATAAGATGTGTTTACACAAGAGTCCTTCATTGAACAAATAAGAAATAAAAACAAATAAGAAATAAAAACAGCACAAGACCACCTCTGGGCTTACTTACTTGGACTCTGTAAATCACTTCTCCCTTTCTGGCGTGTGAATTATTGGCAGGACTTAAGGTGTTGCCTGGCTGTGCATCAGTGGCACTGCCCTGACCTCCCTCTGTCGAAAGAAAGCCCACAAAAGTGTGATGTTTGCAGGCTGGGATGCTTTGGCTGGAGCTGCTGGAGGAAGGGAGGCCGTGCTGCACACAGGCCAGGCCACTCTGACTGGAGGGTTCCATTTGGTTCACCATCGACAGGCGGGACTGGATGGATGATGGCAAGTTTCGAAGCGATATCTGACTGGTAGAAGAGCGCCGACAAGGCACAAACCCCGTGGCGGACATCCGGAGGGACGAATGCCGGCTGCTGTAGCAGTAGGAAGACTGGCTGGCTACTGAGGCCCGGGCAGGAGACTGTCTGACCAGGCCCGACTGCACAGAGTGAGAGCTGTGGCTAGTGCCTAGGAGGAGAAACAGCAGCATTCACTCAGAGTAGAATGACTCACACACGATACTTCTCTTTTGTAGTGTCTAAGACTTTTTCCCCTAGGCAATTAATTGGTGAATTGATAGAACTTAATAATGTTTATGCCTAAAACTTTTAAAGTTAAGAAAAAGAAATATGTATCTGAGATCTTTTTTCGTATGCGGTTTTTGTAATGTAATTTTTATTTGCTAACGTTTTTTAGAGTTTAAATTCTGGGGCATATGAAAGACCTAATTATAATTAAATATCTGACAGGAAACATCAGGACTTAAGGTTAGGATAAATCCTAAAATATGTTTCACAGAAATATTTCAAAATAACAAGAATACTTCTGTAACACATCAGAAATGAACTATCTGATGGAAATGAGATGGTCAGAGATTTACTGAGAAATACTACATGATCTCTCTCACTCATGGAATCTGAAAAATCCAAACTCACAGAAGCAGAGAGTAGAATGGTGGCTGCCAGGGGCTGGGGAGGGGGAGGTGTTGGTCACAGGGTACAAAGTTCCAGTGAGTCAGGAGGAATAAGCTCTGGAGGTCTACCGTACAGCCTGGGGACTACAATTAATAATAATGTGTTATATGCTTAAAAATTGCTGAGTAGCTCTAAAATGTTCTTACCACAAAAAAATAGGTTATGAGGTAATGGATATGTTAACTAGCTTAATTTAATCATTTCGCAATATATTCACATATTAAAACATGATGATATATACCATAAAAATATATAATTTTTGCCAGTTAAAAAAGAGAAATACTTATTAAGTCCCTAATAAATGGCATGCTCTATAACTACTATTTCTCAAAGTATGGTTATTACTGCCCTTTCAACCTCTTCCAAGGAAAAGCTACACTGCCTATTGAGAGACAGTGAATACCATGCTGTAATTTCCATACACATTCGGGGGTCACTGCTAAACAGGAATGATCAGTGGTACTGAAAAGCAGGTTCTTCTGCATCCTTTTTCAAGTGGCTTGATTTGATTCTTTAGACTTGTCTTTTTCTTGACTTGTAACAGTAATGTAAAATTAATTACATTGTAAACATAGCTATATAAAAAGAACTAATCAATGTAAGAGCAAAAAGTACATTTAAAGAACACTGAAAATTTTATGTTTTCACTCAGAAGCAAAAAAAAGAACATCCAAAATGTATATCTATCAAGTCTCTTCACTTGAATTCCATATTGAAATTTAATAAATGTCTTTCAATTCAAGTAAATGTCTTGGAACTTTATCTGATCCATGTGAAGCAGTCAGGGGGGCAGTCGGGGAGAGGATCAACTCTCCATATGGCTGGATCAACTGATCATCCATGTGGAGACAGTTGAGATCTGATTCCTTCTGCATACCAAGTGGACTGTTGATCTCATATCAAAGGGAAATTAATAAAAGCTACCTTGAGGGCCTAGGGATAGGGAAAATTTTCTTAATTAGGACATAATGATAAAATAAATGATTAGTTTATTATTCTCAATAAAGGACTTCTCATCAAAAGAAGGCAAGTAACTCTTCACAGTAAGAGAATGAAAAGCCAATGGACAGAATGGGAAAAGATATTTATAGTACAGCAAACTGAAAGGGCTCAAAAGCAGACTATAAAACACCAATCAATCAGAAAAAGATAACCGAATAAAAAATAGGCAAAAGATGTATATAAGCACATTAGAAAGAGGAGCTGCTGATAAATTCATTAAAAACTTCCATCTTAGGTATCAGAGTAACGCAAATTAAAACAATTCTTCTAACATCATGTTAGAAGAAAAACCAAGTCATTGTCCAACAGGGGAGAAGTTAATTATAATTAATATTTAACTATTAATTGTAATAGTTAAATATTAGCCTTTAAAAATTATATTTTCAAAGAATCCTTAATATATCGAAATGTTTATGCTGATTTATCAAGTTTATAAAGCATATAATTACATATATAAAAAAGGATGAACGAATGGGATAATACAAGTACAACCTGGAATTAAAAAAAATTCTATTTCTGTATTTTCAAGTAGCTCACATGCAGTCCTCTTTATACACATATACTAACCAGCCTCTATGCTAAGAAGCTAACATTAGGCATATGACTTTGTTTCACATTACCTAGGGGTGGAGGATAAGATGTGACAGGTGGGTGGAGTCCGGTTCCTGATCCCTGCCCAGGATTTCCAGTGCTTCCCTGGGATACGTTGCTGTGGGGATCGTTGGCAGTTGTTGCATTGTTACCAGTGCAGGAAGTCCCACCTCCAGTATCAGAATCTTCAATATTGCCACCACTGTTACATCCAGCTCCGCAACCTTTCCTAAGCCTAGGAACAAATAACAGAGTAAAAAGCATTATCCCAAGATCACTTCAAAATGGGTATTTTATTCTTTCTCCAGCTATTCTGAACTGCTAATGCTACTAATGTTTACCTTTTAAGGCTTTATGGTGCAATCAATATTAGAAACAAAAAAACTCATACGTTTTCAAAGAATGGCTTTAGAACTATAACCCTCATATTCACTGTCTCAAATCTTTCCAATTTACTTCACTTTTATATACTTTATTATCTGTCCTGTACCACGATAGAGCTGTATATAACTCAGTTGTACCATTAACATCAAAACAATATGGTACTGGTACCAAAACAGAGACCAATGGAACAGAACAGAGGCCTCAGAAGCAATGCCACACATCTACAACCATCTGATCTTTGACAAACCTAACAAAAACAAGCCATGGGGAAAGGATTCCCTGTTTAATAAATGGTGTTGGCATAACTGGCTAGCCATGTGCGGAAAACAGAAACTGGACCCCTTCCTTACACCTTACACTAAAATTAACTTCGTATGGATTAAAGACTTAAACCTGAGACCTAACACCATAAAAACCCTAGAAGAAAACCTAGGCAAAACCATTCAGGACATAGGTATAGGCAAGGACTTCATGATTAAACACCAAAAGCAATGGCAACAAAAGCCAAAATAGACAAATGGGATCTAATTAAACTTAAGAGCTTCTTCACAGCAAAAGAAACAATCAGAGTGAACCAGCAACCAACAGAATGGGAAAAAAAATTTTTGCAATCTACCCATCTGACAAAGGTCTAATATCCAGAATCTACAAGAAACTAAAACAGATTTACAAGAAACAAACAAACCCATTCAAAAGTGGGCAAAGGATACGAACAGACACTTTTCAAAAGAAGACATAGATGAGGCCAACAGACATGAAAAAATGCTCATCATCACTGGTCATTAGAGAAATGCAAATCAAAACCACAGTGAGATACCATCTCACACCAGTTAGAATGGCGATCATCAAAAAATCTGGAGACAACAGATGCTGGAGAGAATGTGGAGAAATAGGAACGCTTTTACACTGTTGGTGGGAGTGTAAATTCGTTCAACCATTGCGGAAGACAGTGTGGCAATTCCTCAAGGACCTAGAAATAGGAATTCCATTTGACCCAGCAATCCCATTACTGGGTACATACTCAAAGGATTATAAATTGTTCTATTATAAAGACACACGCACACATATGTTCATTGCAGCACTGTTTACAATAGCAAAGACCTGGAACCAACCCAAATGCCCTTCAATGATAGACTGGACAAAGAAAATGTGGCACATATGCACCATGGAATACTATGCAGCCATAAAAAACAATGAGTTCATGTCCTTTGCAGGGATGTGGATGAATCTGGAAACCATCATTCTCAGTAAACTGACACAAGAAGAGAAAACCAAACACTGCACATTTTCACTCATAGGTGGGTGTTGAACAATGAGAACACATGGGCACAAGGAGGGGAACATCACACACTGGGGTATGTTGGGGGTTGGGGCGCTGGGGGAGGGATGGTGGGGGGTGGGGAGGTTGGGGAGGGATAACACTGGGAGAAATGCCTGATGTAGGTGACAGGGGATGGAGACAGCAAACCACCACGGTATGTGTGTACCTATGTAACAATCCTGCAAGATCTGCACATGTACCCCAGAACTTAAAGTCCAATAAAAAAAAAAGGTTTTTCATGGCTGAATGCATTTTGTATAATCAGCCAACTGTTTGGAAATTTTTGTAACTTTTTCATTTATTTTAATTAAATTTCAAAAAAGAAAATCACAGCTGGAAACAGAATTGTTGTTGTTGTTCTTTTTTTTTTTCTTTTTTGGTACAGAGTCTTACTCTGTTGGCAGGCTGGAGTGCAGTGGTGTGATCTCAGCTCACTGCAACCTCTGCCTCCTGATTCAAGCGATTCTCTTGCCTCAACCTCTCAAGTAGCTGGGACTACAGGCGCCTGCCACCACACCCAGTTTAATTTTTGTATTTTTAGTAGAGATGTGGTTTCATCATGTTAGCCTTGTGATCTGCCCACCTCGGCCTTCCAAAGTGCTGAGATTACAGGTGTGAGCCACCATGCCCAGCCTGGAAACAGCATTCTTACCAGTGCCAATGTCTGTTCAGTTACTCTGAAGTATGTAACCCCTGAAAACCTAATTTATTTATACCATTAATATAGTGTACTTGAAGAGAGGTGCTGAAATCATTTTTCCTATTTTTAAAACATGGAGAGTGGCTAGGCAAACAAGGACAATTGGGTACTATATGCCATTTTTCTTAAAGGGAAAGAATTTCTTTAAGTAATTATAATATATTAAATATTTTTTGGAAAGAAAATTTCTTTGAACACTCTCATGGCTTATATTCTGCCTGCTGTTTGGGCAGAGATAAAACATTCGAGAGTTTGCTGCTTTAGTTGCCAGATTTGGTTTTCCTTAAGCTACATATAAGAATCTGAACAACCCTTAAGAAAAGGAAAATAATGTTCTACAAAGTTTCTTCACCATCCAAACTATGATGTTCCTACTCCACACATCATCATTTACTAGACAAAAGACAGAGAAAAAATTCATGTGAATACTTGAAAACACTCTAGATTTCAGATCTGAGTGAGAATGTATTGTTAAAAAGGCAGCAGTGTCTCTGCATTGCCATCAAGTCTCAACATGTACAGAGTGCTCCCCCTAGTGTTGAAACAGAATGGTAAACTAGAAAAAGTAATCCACTTACATGTTGTTTTTCTCTTAATTCCCTGTCTGTATAGAACAAATACCCACATACTCTAATAGTCGCAATGTAAAATAGAAAGTAAAAAAAATAATAATAATAATAATTAAAATAAAGGGAATTTTCCAAGATTCTATCAAGTAACAGAGCAATGGTTCTTAACCACAGTTATATATCAGATTTATCTAATAAGATTTTGATAAGAATGTTCAGATTCTACTTCTTGAAGTTCAGAAATAATGGGTTCATAATGTACCATGGCACCTGTAGTTTTTTTCTACAAGCTTCCCAGGTGACACTACTGCACATGCCTAGATTAAGAGGGTCAGGGACACACCAGCACTGAATAATACAACCCCTTGGCTCACCTGTGCCAGGTTGACACTATGAAGTTCCTGATATTTCCCAAGCTGATAGGACCCCCAAGAATGTCTTTAAGCTGTTCATGGCTGTCAGAGTAAGAAGTTGTCAGGGGTGAGACAAAGATTGGGTAGCCAATAGGTTGATCACAAGATGAGTTTATCATGTTTCTCAGGGCTTGCTTTGCATTTTGGATGCTACCTCTCTCTGGGTTACGGTTACGTAGAAAAACAAGCTCCTGCTGTTGACCCGCCCAAAGACCTCGGACACATTCCTTATTCACCTGAAAACCAGAACACAAGGGAATCAGGTCAAGGGGCCAAGAATAAAATTCACAGAAACAGAAGGGCAGAAATGGGAGGAATACAAAAGATATTACAATAACTAGCTGTGAAAAGCAGGAAACAAATATAAGTAGGACACGTTTAAATAAGAGGTAACCAATCTCCCTTTGTCATTAGCAGGTTGCTAAATAATAAGCATCTATAGAGCTCTTTCTTCATGCTCTGTCTTTAAAAGTATCAAGTAAATGACGCTAATTTAGTTTTTTAAATTGGCAAACTACTCAATTTTATAAATAAGACAATAGAAACGAGAGATAAATATTTAGGGTTGAAAAAATGTTTATGACATATATCAGTTGATTAAATAATGTAAATTAAAAAAATAAATAACTACAAACTATCAAAATTTCAGAAATGAAGCCTCTTAAAGCCCTGAGATGTTTAAAAAAACAAGGAAAAGTTAGAATGAACTATTTAACTTCTGATGTCTATTAAGTACATAGTATGCTATCATTTTGCAACCTAGGAATCATATCATATTAGCAATATGGTGCTGACTTTTTACAAAGAGATGCTGCCCAAATTGCATATATAAAAGATATAAGATCTGCCATTTAATGGATACAAAACTGTCAAAACTGAAATAACCAAAAATTTTAAGGCTTTAAGGCACATGAGAAACTTTCAGAGGACAGAATAAAGTACTCAAAAAAGTAAGTCAAATTAAGTGCTCATAAACAACAAAGACTAACGTAGTATGGGCATTACATTTTTTCTGTGAAAAAACTTTCAATCACTTTTTAAAAGTTTAGATCAAGGCTGGGTGCAGTGGCTCACGCCTGTAATTGTACCACTTTGGGAGGCTGAGTCAGGTGGATCACTTGAGCCCAGGAGTTCGAGACCAGCCTGGGCAACACAGCAAAACCCCGTCTCTACAAAAACACAAAAATTAGTCAGGCATAGTGGTGCATGCCTGTAGCCCCAGCTTCTCGAAAGGGTGAGGTGGAGGATCACCTGAGCCGAGGGAGGTTGAGCCTGCAGTGAGTCGTGATCACACCACTGCACTCCAGCTTGGACCACAAAGTGAGACTCTGCCTCAAAAAAAAAAAAAAAAAAGTTTAGATCAAGTTATTCAACTTCTATTTTTTGGACACAAATAATACCTCACTTACTTTAATGACTCTGAAGCTCAGGTAGCGTCTGTTGAGCATGATGATTTTATATTCATTGGTGCCATCATCCATGACATGCCGCAGAGCAAGCAAGGAGGGAGAGTTGGCAAGTACTGCGCTCCGCCATGCAGGGTCCCCTTCATGGGCTATTACGAGGTTTTTCTCATGAGATACAATGGCTTCATAGAGCACAGTAGGGTCATCATATTCATCTGGAGAAGTAAAATGATCCTAAACACAAAAATAATATATAAATTTTTAAAGGAAAATAAGAAAATTGATAACTTCTATAGTTACTAAGTGAAAGTTCTTAAAAACTGGTTTAATATGAATACTTCCATGCATGTTAATATTATTAGAGATAAATTATAGATTCTTAATCATACCCAGGTTAGGAATTAGCTCATTACTGCTATACTATTTTTATAAATTCCTTAATTCAACCCTCTCCTCTAAGTTCTAGATGAAGAAATATCATTTCTGGTTTTTATGTTTTCTTTGTTTTTCTCTTTCAAGTTGGTTTTTCCTATCTTTGATCATTATTTTTTTCTGTTGAAGGATTATTTCACTACTAAGTAAGTAAGGCTAAAACTATATAAGGTCTCTAGACTGTGTTTCCTTTTAACTAGATACTTTTCATATAAAGCCATATCTCTAGAACAAGTTCTAATATATCACTTTATCCTGTCTCTTACCTAGTTAAGATATGGCTCAAAGCCCTGGGCTTTGAGCACAGATTTGGGGTCCTAGTCCTAGAGAGGTTGGTAAAGTTTTCTCCGAAAAGCCTCTTGGTCTTAATAACTACTCATTCATTTGATAGTTATGCAGTATCTACCATGTACAAGACTCTATGGCAGGTAGCATGGATGAAACGAAGAAGTATATAAAATGTGTCTCCCTATTATAAACGTACACATTAACAGGGACAGGACATATACAGAAATACTCATAACACAAATCTGCAGTTTTGAAATGGTATATTAAAGAAATGTAAATATTATAAGCTGCTTTCATATTTATAGTTGGGAGGTTGACAAATCTCTGTATCCACGTAAAGTAACCCATATGCACTCAAGTCAACTGACCAGAATTTGTGCTATGTGAAAGGAGAAGAATGACAGTGAGAAGGGAATACCCTTAAGGATACAGCCTGTTAGCTGGGGGGGTTGAGGTATGTGAGATAATACAGTACCCATAAATAATGCCTCAACATGTAAAATGTTCTACAAAACATTATTTCATTGGAATCTTACAACAATCTTGTCAAGTAGATTGAATAGATAATACCTGCATTTTACATGTTTAAAAACTGAAGCTTACGGAGGCATAGTTACTTCCTAAGTTTAGGAAGTTAGTAAATGGCAGGCAGAAGATTTTGGACCTTGAAGACTGGTATTCTGAAATAACTCAGTTAGATAAAGAAAAAAGAATAAAAGAAATTAACAGAATCTTTGAGGAATATGGGATTATGTAAAGCAACCAAACTTACCAATTAATGACATTCCTGAGAGGAGGTAGAAAAGTAAACAACCTGACAAACACATTTGAGGGAATAACTCAAGAGTATTTCCCTAATCTTGCTAGAAAGGTAGACATCCAGGTACAAGAAATCTGAGAACAGCTGTGAGGTATTATAAAAACGGATCATCACCAGGGTGTCTAAGGTCAACACTAAACAAAGAATCTTCAAGGCAGCTAGAGAAAAAGGTCAGATCACACACAAAGGGAACCCCATCAAGTTAATAGCAGACTTCTCAGAAGAAACTTTATAAGCCAGGAGAGATTGGGGCCTGTTTTTAGCATTCTTAAAGAAATTCCCACCAAGAATTTCATATCCTGCCAAACTAAGTTTCATAAGTGAAGGAGAAATAAAATCTTTTCCAGACAAGCAAGTGCTAAGGATATTACCTCTTGACCAGCCTTACAAGAGATCCTTAAGGGAGTTCTAAACATAGAAACAAAACAATAATACCTGCTACCACAAAAACACACTTAAGTACATAGCCCACAGACCCTATAAAGCAACCACACAATAGAACTATGAAGCAACAAGCTAACTACTTCATGATAGGACCAAAGTCTCACATATCAATATTAACCTTGAAGGTAAATGGTCTAAACACTCCACTTAAAAGACACAGAGTTGCAAGGTAGATTAAAAAAAAAAAAGATTCATTTGATTGGTGTCTTCAGGAGACCCATCTCACATGCAATGACAGTGACAGGCACAAAGTAAATAGCTGGAGAAAGATTTTTTTTTTTTTTAAAGACAGAGTTTTGCTTATTGTTGCCCAGGCTGGAGTGCAATGGCATGATCTTAGCTCACTGCAACGTCTACCTCCCAGGTTCAAGCAATTCTCCTGCCTCAGTCTCCTGAATAGCTGGGACTATAGGTGCATGCTGCCACGCCTGCCTACTTTTTGTATGTTTAGCAGAGATGGGGTTTCACCATGTTGGCCAGGATGCTCTTGATCTCCTGACCTCATGATCTCTCCACCTCGGCCTCCCAAGGTGGTGGGATTACAGGTGTGTGCCACCGCACCTGGCCGTCGGAGAAAGATTTATCATGCAAATAGAAAACAAAAAAGAGCAGGGGTTACTATTTCTATAACAGATAAAATAGACTTTAACAGTAAAAATGGACACAAAAGGTCATTACATAATGATAGAGGGTTCAATTTAAGAAGAAGACCTAACTATCCTACATACATATGCACCCAATATTGCTGCACCCAAATTCATAAAACAAGGTTTTCTTGGCCTACAAAAATAAGCCACATAGTGATAGTAGGAGACTTCAAAGTCCCACTGATAGTGTTAGATCATTGAGACAAAAAACTAACAAAGAAATTCTGGACTTAAATTTGACACTTGGCCAACTGGATCTAATAGACGTCTACAGAATACTTCACCCATCAACCATAGAATATATATTATTTTCATCTGCACATAGAACATACCCTATGATTGACCACATGCTTGGCCAAAAAGCAAGTTTCAATTAATTAAAAAAATCAAAATCATAGTAATCATACTCTGGGGCCACGGTGGAATAAAAACAGAAATCAATACCAAGAAGGTCTCTCAAAACCACACAACTACATGGAAATTAAACAACTTCCTTGTGAATGACTTTTGTATGAAGAAATTAAAGTAAAGCAGAAATTTAAAAAATTCTTTGAAATAAACAAAAACAGAGATACAACATGCCAAAACCTTCAGGATGCAGCAAAGGCAGTGTTAAGAGGAAAGTTTATAGTGCTAATTGCCCTTATCGAAAAGTTAAAAAGATCTCAAATTAACAATCTAACACCACACCTGGAGGAACTAGAAAAACAAGAACAAACAAATTCCAAATGCAGTGGAAGAAAAGAAATGAGAGCAGAACTCAATAAAATTGAGACACAAAGACCCACATAAAGAATCAACGAAACCAAAAGTTGGTTCTTTGAGAGGATAAACAAAAACAGACCACTAGCTAAACAAAGAAAAGAGAGAAAATCCAAATAAGCACAATCAGAAATGACAAAGGTGACATTACACCTGATTCTACAGAAATACAAAAGATCATCAGAAACTATTACGAACAGCTCTATGCACACAAGCTAGAAAATCTAGAGGAAATGGATAAATGCCTAGAAAGACACAGTCTCCCAAGATTAAATCAAGAAGAAATCAAAACCCTGAACAGACAAATACTGAATTCTGAAATTGAATCAATAATAATAATAATTAAAAAAAAACCTACCAACCAAAAAGCCCCAGATAAGATTCATTCACAGTTGAAGTTACTGAATGTATAAAGAAGAGTTGGTACCAATTCTAAGGAAACTATCACCCCAACCCACTACAAAAAAAAAAAAAAAAAAAAAAAAAGAACAAGGAAGGAATCCTCCCAACTCATTCTATGAAGCCAGTATCATCCTGATACCAAAAACTTGGCAAAAACACAGTGAAAAAAGAAAACTACAGGCCAATATCCTGATGAACATACACAGAAAAATCCTCAACAAAATACTAGTGAACTGAATCCAGCAGCACTTGAAAGTTACTTTACCACAATCAAGTAGGCTTCATTCCTGGGATGCAAGGGTGATTCAACAATATACAAGTCAATAAATGTGATTCACCACATAAACAAAATTAAAAACAAAAACTATATAATCAGCTTAACAGATGAAGAAAAAGCTTTTAATAAAACCCAACACCCCTTCATGTTAAAAACCCTCAACAAACTAGGCACTGGAGGAACAAACCTCAAAATAACCATCTATGACAAATCCATAGCCATCATACTGACTGGGCAAAAACTGGAAGGACCCCCCTTGAGAACCAGAATGAAACAAGGATGTCCACTCTCACCACTCTTATTAAACACAGTACTGAAGTCCTAGCCACAGCAATCAGGCAAGAGAAAGAAAAAAAGGTATCCAAATAGGAAAATAAGTCAAAGTATCTCTCTTTGCTGCTAATGTGATTCTATACCTAGAGAACCTAGAAAACTCTACCAAAAGGTTCCTAAAACTGATAAATGACTTCAATCAAGTTTCAGGATACAAAATCAGTGTACAAAAATCAGTAGCATTTCTACAAACCAGTAACATTCAAGCTGAGAACCAAATCAATAATGCAATCCCATCTACAATGCATACACACAAACACACACGCTAGAATACATCTAACCAAGGTGGCAAACGATCTCTACAAAGAGAACTACAAAACACTGCTGAAGGAAATCAGACATGACACAAATGGAAAAACCTTCCATGGGTTATGGGCCGGATGAAATCAATACTGTTAAAATGACTATACTGCCCAAAGCAATCTACAGCTTCAATGCCATTCCTATCAAGCTACCAATGTAAATTTTCACAGAATTAGAAAAAACTATTCTAAAATTATATAGAACCAAAAAAAGAGCCTGAACAGCCAAAACAATTATAAATAAAAAGAACAAAACCAGAGGTATCACCTTACCTAACTTCAAATTATAAGGCTACAGTGATCAAAACAGCATGGTACAGGTAAAAGACAGACACACAAACCAATGGAACAGAATGAAGAATCCAGAAATAAAGCTGTACTCCTGCAGCCATTTGAGCTTCAACAAAGTTGTCAAAAATATGCAATGGAGAAAGGATTCCCTATTCAATAAATGGTGCTAGGGTAGCTGGCTAGCCATTTACGAAATGAAACCGGACTCCTACCTTTCACCACATACAAATATTAAC